AAAAAAAAATAACCCCAACTACTTGATGCGTAAAACGGAATATTTTTCCATAGAGGTGGACACCATAGAAGCGATAAATCAAATCGGCTATTGTGTATCTCGCTTCAATACAAATGCATTGTATGCAGGTCGATTTCTTTTCTTTTTAGTTTTGCTTAACGGTTTTGGAATAATTTTTCAAATTTCGTTTCGAAGCTGTTGATTTTACGCTTTGTTGTTGAATTTTGTTTGGTTATTGTTGATTTTTTTTGTTGTGTAGTTTTTTGTAACTTAATCGTATCCTTCTTATTTAGTTCTTAAATTATTGTCTTTGAATAGATTCTCTTTTCGTTACAAATTATCTCGATAAGATATTTAAATAGATTTTTTTTAAATCGATTTTACGTCACTACATCCCTGGATACTTCAAATCTCCAACGTCATCGTACCCATGCTAAGTGAAATGAACTATAAGTACGGCAAAAATTAGAATTCGAGCTGAGGTAGTATCTACTCTTAATCGTGTATAAAAATATATTTTTCACTTCTCATGCTCCAAAAGTTCGCCTTACGTAGCGGGAGTAAAGTGCATCATTTAATCCTAGGGAGTAAAAACTAAGTACTTAGTAGTAATGGTCACGGGTGACTGAAATTGTTTGATTTTTTTAACATTAAAGTCTGCGTAAACGTTTTTGTAAGCTTCAAACTAAAAATCATTTAAATGACAAGCGCGTTTTTAAGCACGCTAATTTAAAAAAGTACAACGTTTAAACGCTTAAAATGAATAAGCAGTATCAATTTTTATTGAATTGATGTTCAATATTTTTTAATGCGAAATTACGTTCACTAGTTTGTTATGATTATGTTATACAAAGATCGAACACTCAGAAAAAAATCCTTCGATCCTGCTGTTAGCCGTAAAGTTATCCAACTGGGTGACGAAATACTTAAAATTCCTCATAGATGGCGCTACGACTAAAAAGTCGTTGAAAAAACCAAATACAATGAATAAGCAGTTTTTCCATTTCTAAAATCAACTGTGTAAATGCTTTTAGTAACCCTTACGACGCTGCTTCGAACTGCCTCGCAAACTACGGTGGTCCGGTGTTGCCAGCCGTGGCGCTCGGCGGTTTCCTGGCGCCCGGAGAGCAGCTCACAAAGAACTCAAGGTTCCACGAGGCTACAGCGCTCATTTTGACCTTCTTGGTCAACAATAAGCATGATAAAGAGCTGGTGAGAATATCTTCAAGTCTATTCAAAATTGCCTCCGTGGCCGAACACTTACCATACTGGACTGTCATGTAGAGGTCCTGGGTTCGATTCCCGGGCCAGGGGAAATATTTGCATGACCTACGTTAGTTTTCCTCCTGAGTTTGGGTGCGATTTGTGGTTGTCTATTTGTTGTCCATGGCACCTGCGTTACGGGGTTTCCCTAGTGCTGAGTGTGTGCTTTATTAAAAAAAAATTGAAATTTGTTTTTAAATCATAAGCAAAAAAGAACGCTCATGGAAATCCATAATATTTCAACGTATAGTTAGAGCATGCTTGGCTTTATGTTTGTGATTTACGAAAATAATAGTCAAAATTCCAAAGTATAAATTAAGCTCTTGAATGTATTTCTTAGGCAGAGATTTATAAAAGAACCTTGACTTCCATAAGCAAGAAATTAAATTAACTTCTCACGTCACTGCGTACAATCGTTATGCATTATCAAGGGGCTAGACGTTGCTGGGGTTCCACCCCCATGTTCGTGATATTCTAAAGATTCGTACGATTTGCTGCCTGCAGTGCCATAAACGGTAAAACTTGGACCTTTTTAAGGTCAGAGTGAATAGGCATTATTTAGGTGTGCATGCTTCATCGTCGACCTCATCGTCATTTTCGATCAGGTGAGATGGGGGTTAAATGCGCACAAATTTATTTTTAATAATAATAAAAAAGAAAAGGCATTGAGTTCTTAGCTTTTCGCGATTGTTACACATAGGAAATTAAACAATTTTTCGGATTTAAATCGCGTATATTTGTTTTTTCAAACAAACCAAGTCAACCAAGACCATGGGACCTGTAAAGGGCCCGAAATGTCGGTTTGTTTGAAAAAAACAAATATACGCGATTTAAATCCGGAAAAATAGTTTCATTTCCTAAAAGAAAACGCTTTTTATACCGTAGTGTTCTAAAGCCACAAGGTGTCTCTAACACGCACCTGTGTTTTAATCCGATTTTTTTTACTTTTGTCGTTAAATAAGTATTGAATTCATAAGTACTGAAATTCTTTTTTTTGGCGGTTAGATGTCGCTCAACGTTAAGAAATTAAGAAACTGACAGTTGTTGACATCAGTCCGGCATCGAGTATATTATAATATACTCGATGCAGTCCGGTTACACACTTCTATTAGAGTTTCTTTTAAATATGATTTTATTTCCAGACGTAAATAGGCTAGGCCGCTATTATAATTTGAAAAACCTAATGAATTTATTAAGACATTTGAAGACGCTAACCAATTATTTTATTTATGATTTTGCCATTGTTCTTTGAGCTTCCGTGGCGTCATAACTGGTTTATAAATATGCGTATACACTTTAAATAAGACTCTGTAGGAATGTATAAAGGTCACTGTGAATAATAACACGGTGTTTTATTGTTTTAGCTGAAACCAGCATTGGAATGGGAGAAAAAATATATAGAATTCATGAAAAACTTCACTGAAAACGAAATGCCAAGTTACATGGACATCGCATACACGTCCGAGCGTTCCATAGAAGACGAATTGGATAGAGAGTCACAGAGCGACGTATCAACCATACTGGTGTCATATTTCATTATGTTCGCATACATTGCTATCTCTTTGGGAAGATTTACCACGTTCTCAAGGTTGCTGATCGACAGTAAAGTCACTTTGGGGCTCGGAGGTGAGTTTTCTATAACTTTGCTATGGTGGAACCTGATAATCAGTTTATTAGTGTAATAAGGCCTTATGACTTGATCATACGTTAAAATACTTTGTTTTTTTTTAAAAAAAAAAACATAATGACATGTTCAACTTTATATTACACATTACACTAACTGCCTCCGTGGCCGAACGGTTACCATGCCGGATTGCAACGCAGAGGTCCCAGGTTCGATTCCCGGGCCGGGAGAAGTATTTGTATGGCCTACAATTATTTCTCTCGTGGGTTTGGGTGTAATTTGTGGTTGTGTATATGTATGTCCATGGCACCCGCGACACAGGGTTTCCCTAGTGCGGGGCTATGTTGAGTGTGTGCATTATTTATAAAAAAAAAAAAAAAAAACTACGCGATTTGTGTTGCATTATTTATGTAATATAAATCCGTTGGTATATTTTATTTTTATTATTGTTGATATTAAATTGACAACGATAACTAATTGAGTTTATTAAAATTGATTTGTTACAGTTGAACTGTTTTTCTTTCATTTACCATTTTCCTCGCTATAGTGAGATGAAAAGTTGTGTGTTTCGCTCGGCAGCTGATTTGTTTTGCGTCACGTGCTTTGAAACACTCGCTACGTTCATGATTCTATTTATCTTCGCTTGCTCAGGTTTCAATACAAGCACTCGTGTCAAACAACAATTTTGCAGCCTTGCATAACAAATAACTTCCCCTTCCCTCCCCTCTATAACATCGGGTCCTTCAAACGTAGTGTGAAGAAGCATTTGGCCAGACCGGCAAAATGATAGTGACGGAGTGAAGATATTTGTGTTTTCCATCCGTTACTCTCATCTCTGGACTGTATTCGCACTTTCCATCAGGCGCGGTGCAGTCATTTTGCCGAGTCACAATAAAAAAAAAAAAAAAAAAAACTATTACAATTTTAGACTTCATTGTCAACTGCCTCAACTTAATAATCTCACATTTTGTCCACAGGAGTCGTAATAGTATTGGTATCAGTAGTATGCTCTGTTGGATTGTTTGGTTTCATCGGCGTGCCAGCAACACTCATTATCATAGAAGTAATACCTTTCCTCGTGTTGGCTGTTGGCGTGGACAACATCTTTATTCTGGTGCAGACCAATCAGAGAGAGGGAAGACGGCCTAATGAGACTGTCGCTGAACATATTGGAAGAACGTAAGTGCACTTTTTGAATTTTCAGACAGGACTTGTACCATTGGTGGAGCTGCAGCCCCGGTTTGGTTTCATTTTGTGTCAATAATAATAACAAACTTATAGCATTTTATTTCGTCCAGGGAAGTACTTTCTTGTGAAGCTATAATGTGAGCATTACTACGTATCGGTTTCGAAGGGTAAGAGCGCTGGTGAAATCACAGGCACGTGGGACTTGAAAGCTTATGTCTCAGGGTGACAGACAGTGGCAGTGCACCTCAGACCATTTATATTTACAGCCCTGAGTGGCACTGCCCTGCTAGGCGCACGACTTCGTCCCGTCACTTGATATTACAAAAAAATCTCGGTATTTTTGTTTTAAGTGTAGTATCAACTTATCTTATTCATTTTTCTTTTTATTAATACCACAATAACAGACATCAGATATAGACAATATAGAAAAAAAACACTTAAAAATTAATACAGTAGGCATATCTGTGCCCAATTATAACTGCTCAACAATCAAAAGTAGATATACTTAAACGAACGCGAAATTAATTAGTATTATTATAGAAAGAAAACAAAAATATTACATTATTTACTTTACAACAATGCAAGAAGTGATCTCTTAAACGTAGGCCTTATAAGTCCACTATGTAAAGTCTGTTCCAATTCATTATGCCAGAAAAGTGAACAAACAGGTTTGGCTAAAATTCTAAAGCAATAGCTGAATATTTGGAATAAGTCACACTTTCACGTATATTTTGAAGATTTCGACTAGATATCTCATCATTTTTTTCAGTAATATTCATTTGTATTACATTAAAATCTTATTTTAAAAATGTTACTTCAAAAGTGAGGTTAGTAATCAAATATAGATTTGTGAATAGTCTATGGTTGCATAGGGCTGTGCGGAAATAGCTCAGTCGGTTCATTCAATGAAAGTGTTTGTAATTGACTAGTGAATCGAAAATTCAAACACAATGTAACGAAGATCTAAGTGTAAGATTTGAAGGAAGATTTAAAATTAGATTTCGGAAATTTTAAATTTTCTTTTATAGGTTAGTTTAGTTTAGTATTTTTTTTCTTACATAAGTAAGTAAAAAAATTCTAATCTCATGTATAAAATATCATCACTCAGTATTGAATCACATTTTTTTTTTTATAGTAAATAGCAGCGAAATCGCAAAATCCATTTTATTATATAAAAGCCAGTTATTTCATTTGATTCAATTAAACAAATCAATTCATTCAATTAATTAATCGATTTGTAGTATATGATCGGGTCAATGATCTGTTTGTTTACTTTTCTAGTGCAACGGATTGATCCATATAACCAGAAATAGAGACGAAATAAGGGCTATCCATACCAGGCAAATGGGTCTTATATCACTTTTAAATATCAATTCTCGTTTGCACTGAAATCACAAATGAGTAAGCTGAAACAGTACAGCGCCAACAACTGACCTGTGTGTACGTCTACGTATATTCCAATAATATTCTGTGTTTATTGTAATAAAGGTAATATCTCTATGGATAACCATGGGGGGGCTGTTCCATTCGGTGTTGTCACCGTAATGATTTGGCAGAAATAGTTTTAGTTTTCAAACAAATTAAAAGACATTTCGTTTCTATATTTGTTTATATAGTCCATGGATGGATTGGACAGACTATAGTATACTGTATTGTGCAAACAGTGAAAGTAAATACATGGCCCATTTTTGCGCGCAGCCTTGGCCAGGTGGGCCCGTCGATGTTCCTGACGTCGGTGTCGGAGTCGGTGTGCTTCTTCCTGGGCGCGCTGAGCGACATGCCCGCCGTGCGCGCCTTCGCGCTGTACGCCGGCGCTGCGCTGCTCATCGACTTCCTGATGCAGGTCACCTGCTTCGTGGCGCTGCTGGCCATCGACACGCACCGCCAGAACGCTAACCGGTATAGTTGACGAAATATTGTTTGCACCGATTCGTTTCATCTCTTTGTCTTTCGAGTATAATAGGATAAAAGAGTGAGCAAAAGAAAAAAATAATGGAAGGGACTTAGACTTCGATTACTATCAGAATCGATGTCGCCAAAACTCACACATTCTTAATTTGAAACACAACAAAATTTTGAAATAGCAAACTCTGGATTGTTAATATAATTTAAATTTTACCCTGTTGGCATATTGTTGAAAGTTCAATACCGTTAATACCTATTACAAGTTCGACGTTTTGATATTATATTAAAATTTTAATAAATGTGCTGCCATCTAGCGGTTAATTTCTGGACCGCTACGAATTGGAGTTTTTAATTTAGTTCTCCAAACAAGAAGCGACCACATTGCAGGAGTATAAACTTTACTTTCGTTTCTTGTACCAAATTTTTTTTTCCAATGAACAGAAAATTTAAAATTTATTTAATTTCATTGACTTACTATTATAATTTATTACTTTCCGATTATATGAAATACCACCACGGGTAATAGTTTTGGTGCGGCTATAATTTTTGCACGAATTTGCACGAAAGAATGACACAGTAGTTGGCACGCGTCAGACGCTAACTAACCACTTCTACTATATTTATTGTTCTGTGGTTTTATTGGTTCATAATTTTAAGCGAATTATTCATAACCAAATGTTTGCCGTAGTTTCGACATACTCTGCTGCGTGCAAGGTACGAAGACGTTGAACACGGACGCGGGCGAAAGCGCGCTGTATAATCTGTTCAAACATTTCTACGTACCCTTCCTAATGAAGAGAGAAGTTCGCGCTTCGGTTATGATCATATTCTTTGCTTGGCTCTGCTCTTCAGTTGCGGTAAGTCATCGTAGAAAGTATCTCCAAAGGTAATTTTTATTGATACATTATTAGCACACGCTTCAACAACTATCCTACATCAATGGTGAAATTACAGGCACATGGGACTTGTCAACTTCTGTCTCAGGGTGACGGGCGCAGTGGCAGTGCTCCTCAGATCTTTGCGATTTATAGTTCTGAGTGGCACTGCAACTGTTACGGACAGGCGTGTAGCTTACCATCAGGCGCACGACTTGTTAGTCCCGTCACTTGATATTATAAAAAAAAGAATGGTAAATATGTGCATTCCGCCGCAATATGAATTGAGCTTTAGAGTCAAGGATTCTAAACGCCAAGTTTTGTAAATACTAATAATAATAATAGAAGACTGAAAAATTGGTTTGTGTCCTAAGGACGTGTGACGAAAACCGAAGAAAACGTATTTACAGTTTGTTTTAAAGCCGAAACAATAAAAAAACTACAGACAAAATAATGACAAACCAAAGAAAAAGGCGCCAAATAGAAGTACTTTTAAATTTAGAATTTAAGCCTAAAAGTAAATGGATAAAAAAGACTATATAAAATACAAAAATACTTGTAGTGCCTGCTGCGGTTGTCAACTTTTTTTACTTCTCAAAATATCAACTCTCCATAATAAGAACGTTTCAATATTAACTTATTTTAATCTGGAAGGATGTTGTACGAAAAGAGTAAGACTTGGTTGGGTCATTATGACCCCAAATTTCATTTACATTTTTTTATATTGGTTAAAAAAAATTAACAAATTATATTATCTTACGCAGGCCATTATTTCAATGATATTCACTAAAAAAATATAGTTTTAAGTATTTTTTTTAAATCATACTTATTTTACAAAATGTCAACAAAATAATTAATTTTGCCAGGTCTTCTAGTTCCATGCCATAAAAAAATCGTCAAAAATATTATTTTCCAACAAAATTGTACTTATGACATCCTTTCTTAACACGTTTAGTTTACTGATGTCTGGCATAAAGACATACTTGGCGCCCTTTTCGGGCACTTGGTACTGTGACAGAAGGTCCATCTAACTGCCTCCGTGGCCGAACGGTTACCATGCCACGCAGAGGTCCCAGGTTCGATTCCCGGGCCGAGAGAAATAGTTGTATGGCCTACAATTATTTCTCTCGTGAGTTTGGGTGTAATTTGTGGTTGTCTATGCGTGTGTCCATGGTACCCGCGACACAGGGTTTCCCTAGTGCGGGGCTATGTTGAGTGTGTGCGTTATTTATTATTATTTATTTATAACAGAATCGCCACTAAATTCTAGGATTCTTTTACGTAATTGGTTAGGCAATTGAGATTTTTTTTTCTAGTAATCAAGTGTTCACTGAGACGCACTCGGTCTAATTATTATTATTATTATTATTTTATTTACAGGTAGCACCACACATAGAAGTCGGTCTCGACCAAGAGCTGTCAATGCCGCAAGACAGCTTCCAGCTCAAGTATTTCCAATACCTAAACAAATATCTCAACATCGGACCACCAGTGTACTTCGTAGTGACAGACGGATTGAACTATTCTGATACAAACACACAGAACATGGTGTGCGGTACAAGATTCTGCAACCCTGATAGTGTCGCAATGCAGCTTTATGCTGGTAAGTTGGATTTTGTTTTTACAATCGTTCTAATTTGAGGATATAGATTTTATGACTCATGATTATTCAATAATTAAAGGATGCGTCATCTACTCATGGTTATGCCATTGAGCGTGTAGCCGCTCCGAAATATTGGGAAAAAATAAAAAGTTACACAATTGCTTAATAAGACAAGTGGAGCTCTCGGCGCATAGGGTTGTCACATTATTATTTTAATTGTACCTACTTGTTGCAAAACATAATTTGAAACAATTATTAATACAAAAATCTAACATTGAGAAAAAATTACTTCATTCCGGCGGGATTCGAACCAACATCTTCCAGCAAACCGTGCCAAACGCTATGCGACGGAAAGAACTAGCGGACCTTATTAATTTTTCTATGTGCTCGTTGCACTGTGAGAAATCTATTTCTACATTCATCCAAAAGGATATAAAGGTATATCAAAATATACCGAGTACGACGACCATTACCGTACCACTTGTCTCTTTGCGTAGCATGGCTATATCGCATGCGATACGTGAGACACCTTCCCGTGACATTTATTTCAGTTGATAAAGCTATGTTGCCATTATTAAAATTTTATTTTTTAAATGTGAATACTGAATCTATAAGTTACACTGTCAGGTTTTTTTCACTCAGACAGGTACCGTTAAAAACCAAAAAGAAAGATCTGCAACAAGTTTTATTATTTGAAAATTATTTCCTAGTGAAAAAAAAACACTAGAATAATTACTATGCTGATTGTAAATAACTCTTGTAACCAATTCTTACATTTTCTTTTCGTAGCGTACAAATCGTCAAATGAGACGTACATCGCGCAGCCGGCCAACTCATGGCTGGACGACTTCTTCGATTGGGCAGAGCTGCCTAGCTGTTGCAAATACTTCTCCTCAAATAGTAGCTTCTGTCCTCATACTAAATCAGGTCAGTATTCAAAAGTATACCTAATTCATAATTTTAGAATCAAGTAGCGACGCGTATTATAGTCTGAGCTTGGAACTCCTATATTTCGCGTGGTAAGATTACTTCTATCTTTGTGTAGAACCAAAGCAGCACTATTGTGCGCAAGGCCTTATATCACACGTCTGATGACGCGTGCCATGCGAGGTCAAAATCATTATAACAAGTAACAACTGGTGGCGGTTGGGTGGACATTCTCACTTGCCAGTTTAAATACTATTAACACCACAATAACGTCGTTTACAGTAAAATTGATTAACAATATAATAGTACGGGGTACCCCGTTGCATTATAAATATGTAAGTATGATTTTGTAAGCAGTAGAGCTCCTTGTGAAAGAGTTCGTCTAAGGAAGTACTGCCACCTTACCTATTTCTGCCGCCAAGCAGTAATGTTAGCATTACTGTGATCCGGTTCTGAAGGTTAAGGGTGCAGGTGAAATTACAGGCACATGGGACTTGTCAACTTATGTCTCAGGGTGACGGGCACATTGGCAATGCCCCTCAAATCTTTGCGATTTAAAGTTTTGAGTTTAAAGTTTTAAAGTTTTGCAACTGCTATCGACAGGCGTGTCGCTTACCACCAGGCGCACGACTTGCTCGTCCCGTCACTTGGTATTATACAAATAAAGTAACAACATAATACGCACAACGAAATTACGTTCATTACATTACAAACAAGTACTTATTATATTACATTACAAGTACATTTTCCATTGCAATAAATAATTTACTACTATCTTTGCTTTTTCAGAATGCAATGCATGCAACATAAAACTGGTAGGCAACGAAAGTCGCCCCAGCTCGGATGACTTCAGGCGCTACGTCTCATGGTTCCTACAGGACAATCCGGACTCCAGCAGCTGTCCTAAGGCCGGCCACGCGGCCTACGGCCAAGCCGTCAACATCAAGCCGACACCAAACAAAAATTTCTCTGACGTAGGCGCCACCTACTACCAAGGATATCACTCAGTTCTGAAAACGAGTTACGATTACTATTCCGCTCTACGTGGTGCTAGAAACGTTGCTGCCAACTTAACAGAGACTATCAACCGACGCCTTAAGGAGAATAATGAACCAGCCAATGTGAATGTGTTCCCGTATTCAGTGTTCTACGTTTTTTATGAACAATATTTGACCATGTGGCCTGATACGCTGAAGAGTATGGGTATATCGGTGTTGTCGATCTTCATCGTGACGTTCATTTTAATGGGTTTCGATCTGTTTTCTGCTTTGGTAAGTTGTTTTCCACTCGTACCTATTTGGCTCTCCTAATTTAAACCATTTATTTTCATATATAAAACAAAAAAATAATAATTTACAAAGTTGAGAAAAAAATAAGACATTTTTATACAATTTACAAACATAATAGCAATTGTAAGAAAAAACATCAAATAAAGTATGTGTGTTACGGACACGAGCTCAGGCAAATGTTGAAATTAGTTTGCAATGATTTCAACTCTGATTGTCAGCCCGACCCGGCCATGGCAGCTCGACGCGGTCGATTACACCCACAAATCGCAAACAAACATGAAATGGAGATAAAATTGTTGATGAAAATACTAATATTAATTATTAGAGAGATGCCACGAATATTCAAATAGTGAAAAAAGCACATATTATTCAAAATGTATCACATGTATTGTAATCACAAATTATGGCTTTAATATTTAAAATCAATCACTGGCAGGTTGTTTTTGAATCAAAAGAAATTTTTCAGCATTGGTTATATAAACGATTAATATACGATAGCGCTTTTCCTCATATACAAGTTCTGCTTCTGAAAAAAGCCTTTCACTATAAACACTACTGCCAGGAGACGATAGATAAATCTTAGCAAATTTTGACAGGAGGTAAGGATTTGTTGTCCGATCTAGGCGAACAGTTTTGAAATAAAAATCAATCTCATGTGCAATAGAGCTTTTCTCCACATCCTCATCATTTTTGCATATTATCCGTAGCAACTTCTTCAAAACAGGTCCAGAAATTGACAAGGATTGATTCTATCGTTTTATCATTTTTCAACAAAGACGATTCGGGAACCGTGGAGCGTGACCGAAAATTCAGTATTCGGCCAAATCACTTTTCGTGTCATCTCTAATAATTATCACTTTACATTATAACTTTTGAGATATTGGCACCTAAAGTTTTATTGTCACCTAACGAATGTCAACTACGCTGATTTTGTTTAAGGCGAGTTACCGGAGGGGAAAATACTGGGAAATACTGTAAATAAATACGGGGGAAATACTGTTTTACTAGATCAAATGGTTTAGGTATTTACTATTAAATAACGGCCTTACAAAAAATATACGGCACACCTAAGGATGTTCTCTAAAGAATGTGCTAATTTGTAAAAAAATAGGCTGTACTTTCTCCGATCATATAAAATCCTGAAAACAGGCTAAAATAAAAGTTTAAAACTAATTATTTAAATATAAAATCTACCTTAGCACATAATTTTTATACGGAGATTTTTTTCTTTAAGTACTACAGACAACCTGCTAAATTTTGGTTTTCAATTGAAGCACTATAATTATAAAATTCGCATTTATCTCAAAATTTTGAAATTGTTCAGCGGTTTAACGACATGTCGCGCCCTGTCAGTCGCCATCGGACTGTCTACGTCAGATCTGTGTCAAATCTTCTTTATTCATATTAATTTTTACCGCGCGAATTGCGGGATGTGAAGGGGACCCCACACCTCACGTTCTGAAATCGCTTGCGTTGAAATACCTCGCCTTAACAATAAAACTTAAACTAAATAAGATATAAAAAACCCCATTTGAGTTGTAGATCTCGATTCGCATATCCATATATAATAAACATTGTAGTCACTGCCCTGTCTTCTGCTTTACGCCCGGTTGCATTGAAATTCTATCTTTCCAGTTCATACGCTTCCGAGCCGGAAAGACAGTAATATTACCGGGCTATCTGTGCTTACATGATTTTAGCCTGCATGCGTGTTTCTGTTTCTTTATAAAATTGACAACTGTCGAACTTCTAAATTGATATTTTCATACTAGAAAATTTGTTCGAGAATTACATTTAGTTTTTGAGCAAATTATTTATTCAAATGTTTTACTTGTTTCAGGTGGTAGTGATAACTATAACTATGATCGTAGTCAATCTCGGAGGACTCATGTACTGGTGGGGGATCAGTTTAAACGCTGTCTCACTTGTTAACTTGGTAAGTAGACAATATAAGTTTTAATGTAAATATTAGATATCATCATATACTTTGCTCTAATCCTAAAGTAACTAAAGCACTTGTGTTATGGAAATCGGAAACAACGACGGTACCATAAACACCCAGCAAAGCCAGTTTTCCTACATTGACCCCGCCGGGAATCGAATCCGGGACCTCAGAGATGGCGACACCATGAAAACCAATGAGCAAGACACGGAGGTCTCGTCAAAATTTAAATAGTAAAACTTCAAAATATAGTTGACACTAGCTCTGTGATGTATAATTACAAACTTAAATAAATAGTGTAAAAATGGCATTTCATTTATGATACTATAAAACCCATTTTTGTTTTGCATAAATTTTTAAAATCTTTTGATGCAAATATTTTAATCAGCGTTAGCATTTATGTGAAGTTAAAAAAAGGTTTTTCTTCTTGGGTAAAGCCTTACCATAATTATTTTTTCCGTATTTTATACCTGTGTACATATCAAATGTTTACATAATAAATGTCTCTTTTATTCTCCTCTTTTTCTTCTGCAATACGACGTAACAAAAAGATAAAAATATTGAGTTGTTATGATAGGGAAAAGTTGTTGTAATGGTTAATAACGCTTTCCAGGTGATGGCCGTAGGCATCGCGGTGGAGTTCTGCTCTCACCTGGTGCACAGCTTCAGCGTGTCGCCAGGCACGAACCGCATCAACCGCGTGTCCAACTCGCTGACGCGTATGGGCTCCTCCGTTCTGTCGGGCATCACGCTCACAAAATTCGGAGGCATCATCGTGCTGGGCACGGCCAAGAGTCAGATATTCCAGGTTCGTTCCATATCGCGTAACGTTATTTCTAACCAGCAAGCGTACCGAGCTTATTTACTCTAAAGGTATAATTATTAATAAAAAGATATGTATAAGATATATAAGTATGACCACGGTATGTATAAGATATATTTCGTCGTTGAAAATTCAATTGCATTTATTTCAAAGTCAATATTTTGTGAAATAATTGTTTTTCCTAGTATAACGTTGGACTGATTGCAGCACTCCCGGGTTTTGAAATTTTACCTCGCAATCCTCGCACTAATTAACTTGCGAGAGCCACGTCATTCAACATTAAGCCAGCTGGTTAGAAGCGGGATTGATGTAGCTCACCGACTCATTGTCTGTTACAGGTGTTCTACTTCCGCATGTACCTAGGCATCGTATTATTCGGCGCTGCACATGGCCTCATCTTCCTACCTGTTATGCTCAGTTATATTGGTAAGCTATTACGATTATTTAAAACCACTCGTTATGGCGCCTGTCGCACTATCATATTATCACGTGATCCATATTGACGCTAATTTTATCTTAGGACAACACAACTTGATATTGTATGCACTATAATGTTAGGATTCCAAACTTTTTTGACAGTGTGACACGCGTCCATTACAAAGCACGTTATATTATTGAGAAGTTTTTGTGATGCGGGCGGATATAATGATCTATGTAATAAACAAATCGGTAGTGAATTCAGAGTCAATCTTCCTTAACAATACCTGTCGCATTATGTAGTTTTATCAGATTAACTAAGACTAAGTTGTTCTACACAAGACATTGATAAGTTTCTCCGCGCTGTGCTGCCATTTAAACCACTGTTTCTACTAATTGTCAAAGTTTTGAGCGTTTTTACGCCTGTTTCTACTATAGTCCATTTCACATGTGATGGAGTCCTGTGACACTTTCAATTTTTACGTTGCAAGCATACTTTTTTAACTAATCTTACAACCAGGTTACAAAAAGAAACAGTAAATTTATCATAATGTAACAAATACAAACGTTATTTGTTGCAGTTGTAATTTTAAATAATAAAAATTACGAGTATA